CTTTTTCTTCTCATGATGTGTGAAGTGCTAGAATGGTATCAGTTATGTGTATGTTTAAGAGTATTTCAAGTTTGTGAAATTAATCTCGTGAAGAGTGGTCTAGTTGGTATAAAAATGGAGGATCAGGTGGTTAGAGGACTTACAAAGATGGTAGAGATTTGAAGTCTTGGAGTGGTCTATCACTACTTGGGGTCTCTTTGGGTGGGAATCCTCAAATGGCTTTCTTTCGGAATCCATTGGTGTGCAAGATCTTTAAACACCTTGAATGTTAGGAGCTTGGCCTTTTCTTCATTGGTGGTTGCGTGACTCTTATTCAGACATGTCTTTCTAGTGTCTCTCTTTCCTTTCTTTCTCTATTCAAAGCTCTTAGGTGTATGCAGAGAGCATAGAGAGGATGATGAGGAATTTTTTTGTCCTGATTTGATCGAATATTTGAGGGATCTTTTGTGAGTTGAGATGTATATTGCTTATTTAAGGTTAACAGGATTCTCGATATTGCAAACTTTATTATGAAAACCTATACTAGTTGGCTAGATGGTTATGCCAATTTCTTTTAGAACTTGACTCTTTATGGCATATGATGATTAAGAGCAATTTTAGTCAAATCATAATTGATGGAACCCTAGTTTCAACTTTTTTATTACTCCCAATACCCCTTGGAAAGCTATTTTGAGTCTTTGTGCATGCTTTCTTCCTTTATTCAGTTTGAGAGTGGGTGATGTGGCTCGCTTTCATTTGTGGGACCTTGGGCTTGATATTTTTCCTTTCGCTGCCCGTTTTCCTCGATTGTGTTATTTATCATTGAATTGCAGTGATCCCACATCATTCTTTTTTGACATTTCTGAGAGCGAAACGTCGTGGAATATTTTCTCTTTTCGAGGATTGTGAAAATGTTGATATGATTTCTTAGATGTAGCTTCTTGATTTTTTGTTCCTTTGCAAGGTGCCAATTTTAGAGTTAGGTATTTTGACTCTTTTGAGATGTTTACCTACAAAGCCTTATGTCTTAACTCATAATTCTTTTGTTCATAGTGATGCTTCTAGTTATTGCATTTAGGAGTTTTCTATCCTCACAAGCTTTAGATCTCTGTTTGGACCGTGGTACTGCAAAGACTGAACACTAATAATTTGCATTAAGCTTGTAGGTTAAAGCATGCTTTGTTCCTTGGTGTGTTTCATATGCTTGGAGATTTTGATTTTGCCCATTTGATGCTTTTGGTGTTCCTTGGGTTTCTCCTTTTCATCTTGGGGGGTTTTTTGTCCTTTGCTTTTTGTGGCATGGGCTAGAGGATAGAGGTTAAGGTTGTGTAGTGTTGGGCTTTTTTTGCAAGAATGTGAGTCATCTGGTCAGATACGGTGAATCTCATTTTTTTCTTTGGATAAAGTGTCTCTATTGGTGCCCTTCGGGTTAAAGCATATTTTTTTAAATGTTGATTACCATATTTTATTATTTAATTATTTTATTAATTTATTATTTAATTAGTTAAGATGATGTAATCAGAGTTTTACTAAAATAGTAATCTCATGTAATTAGAGTTCTAATAAAATAGTAATTTCTTTATTAGTAAGTTAAGAATTGTATAATACCCCATGTGTAATAATTTAAATGGTGAAAAATAAAGTTTATATTTTTTTCTTCAAAATCAATATAGTATCAGAGATAAATAAAATTATTTTAGAGTTTTAATTTTAAGATTTTTTTCTAAACCTTAAAATAGCAAAATAGGTTGATTTGAGACTCATCTATCAAGATCTAATCTTACCACCACTTTAGATGGAGTCGCAACCTCACTGGCGACCTGCCCCTGACTCAGATTAATGAGTTTTGCAAGCACCGCCTGTCACCACCACACACGCCACCGCTGGTCGTCACGATCCCCTGCGATTTCACTGGGAATCACCACAGAAATTGTCGGCGGATTCAGATATACTATGGATCTGGTGAAAATTGCGCTAGAACCGCTCGGATCTTGCTTTTCCAAGCTTGGCTGCTGTGGATCGTCTTCTTCTCTGACTCTCCGGCTGTGTCTGCGCACAAACAGACCTTCTTTGCTTTGTGCGCAAGCCGCTTCGACCGGCCTTCTTTGGTTCTTTTTCTGGCTCTTCCGCACATGTCAGCTTTCTGGTTTCGTGATCCGACGCCGATCGGGTTTCTTCACGTGTGAGCTACTCCGACTGGTCTCTTATCTGCTCCTTTTTCGAGCATTGCCGCCTCAGCCGCTAGACCAGTTTGTTTCCAGTCACTGACTTTGGGCTCGTAGCTTGTTTCTTTTTCCGGCCTAATCCTGTTGCTAATAACTTTGAAGGTGTTGTTTAGAAGTTTTATTCTATCCATTTGGGATTACCCATTAGGTGTTGTTCTTTCTCTTTAAACTATGACATAAGCCACATCTCTCTTCAGAATTTGGTTTGGAAGTTGGGTATACGTGATATCTTTACACCAACTTGAAGATGGGTGTTGATTAATACATTTTATTAGTTTATTATTTAATTAGTTGAGATGATGTAATTACAGTTCTATTATAATGATAATTTTATATGATTAGAATTTTAATAAAATAGTAATTTCCTTATTAATATGTTAAAAATTGTATAAATATCTCAGATGTAACAATTTAAATGGTGAAAAATAAATTTTATATTTTTTTTCAAAAATCAACATTAAATGATTATTCCTTGTCTATTTTGCACAGAGATGGTTGGTTATCATGTTATGAGTTTATTTAGTTTTTCTCATTTTCTTAACTTTTGTTATCTGTTTTTCTTAAGGGAGGATAGCTAGTCCTTGGTAATATGACTTCTATGTTTGTTTCTGATATACTTCTTTTTCTGTCAGACTAAAAAAGTTAATAGTTTCCAAAATTTAAGCTCTCCCAAATTGTGTTGCTTTCATAATTGACCTCTTGGAGGTTGGAATTTGCATAAAGATTCTTTACCCTATGATTATAAGGTGTCAACTGCTAAGCAGTTCCTTTGTGAATAATACTTTTTATACTTTTATCTCAAAAAAAAAAAAAAAAACTGTCAAACGGTTCCTTTCTTCAATTTATGTGGTGGAATGAGTGCTTTTAATACTTAATGTTCATTACTTTAGGTATCTGTATGTTTTACCTATCCTTTCTGGAGGTTATTGTTATGTATGGTTAGTTTCTGTGATTTTTTATTATCTACCGCGTATAAAACTTTTTTTTTGGATAGATGCATCTCAAATACTACTGTGCTGATGCTAATTATTTTACATTAATCATGATTCTTTGTTCTGTTATTAACTCTATGCTAAAACAAATTAATTTAAATATGATATCTTTTATTTTTAATCATATCTTCTGAGATAGCCATTTTCGATCTCGACTGTAATTGGGAGATTGTCATCTTTGTCCATTAACAGGTCATATTATTCACATAAGTTCTGTTTGGATTCTATTTGTTGACAAGATAAGGAGGATGTCTTATTCTCCTCTTTGTACCTATTTTCCCTCTTTTCTTAATAAAGCTTCTTTTTTTTTTCATCAATATATACGTTCTAGTTTTTGATAAGAATGAAAAAATATTAGGAAGGACAGAATTAAATACAAAAAGGGTGGGGTGGGGATAAGGCATCATCCAACAAGAACAAGAAAGAAGCCAGAAAACAAGAAAAAGAACTGAAAGGCCTTATCATAGAATACCCACTCAATTCCTTTGCACACTAATAAAAGTGTATGCCTGAAAATTCCATGAGGCCCTCGGAGAAGCCAAAAGGACCTCCTTGTCCCAAATTATCATAGAGAAAAAAGCAAAAGTTTCAAGAAAATTAAGAATCTTGCTGGATGCAGGAATATAATGATATAAAGGTAATCTATGAAGGCGTGAGAACAAAGTAGAGAAGGGAGGATCTCTCAATTAAGAATCCTCCCTATATAGGAAATGGTACCCATCCTCCACGATCAAAATGAAACGAGGCATAGAAATAGGAAGATACCTGCTAGACAAACTTCTAGGGCTTTTCTGAGTCATAAAAATTCCATCTGTGGCAGAAAGCTACTTTAAGGCAGAATGTCATAACCGTTAGCCATCAATGTAACGTCCCCGGAAATATTAAAATGAAATGAGTATTTAAATATATCAAATGCGGAAGCGAGATCAAAATTTCAGTTAACATCCCTTGCACGAAAAACCAAAAACGTACTTAAAATATAAAAGATTAAACTAACTAAGAGAGAAACTCGAAAATAAAACTATGAGTATGACTACAGAGTCTCTAGGCATCCCCTTCGTCGTCCTCCTGCGGAACGGGCTCGGGAAACATGTCTTCCTGATCTGAAATGGTTAAATAAGGAGTGAGCTACACTAGCCCAGTAAGAACATCACGATATCTCACCGTCACGGAGGTAAAGGTGGGTAGAAAAACACAAAAAGACCAATGGAGCATAATTTACAATAAACTCGTTTATTAACATGAAAACCTTTACCATCCACTTACCTCGGTGGAATTTATGAAAACAATATAAGAAAAATAATAACATTATCACAATCATGGAATAATATAAGCTGTAAAACATAGCACTTATCACGTCTTTTGTAATTCAATCATTATACAACATATCCTTTTCTCATTTACCAGCCTACTAGTATCCATGGGGGTCCCTAGGGGTCCCGCTACCCGTTAACCTTTAACATTCATAATCAGTTTCCAGGGCCGTCCCCATACCCCGTCCGGTATGGGCGCCAAAACCATAAACCTCAATACCCCGTCCGGTATGAGGGTGAAACGGGCCGTCCCCATACCCCGTCCGGTATGGGCGCCAAAACCATAAGATCTCCATACCCCGTCCGGCATGTGAGACCACAATCCCGGTAGGGTTCCCTACGGACCCGGTCCGTCCACCATCTCCCAGAATATCTAGTCAGGCTGACCCTATCATACAATTATCAGTCTACACAATGTTTCATTTCCCTTTTCCTCAATAAGCATCATCAATTCACATTTAAACAAGCAAATCGTAATTCATGCCGAACAGACAACATACAGTATCAGTTCTTCAGTCATTCAACCCATAATTAATA